TGCTGACCCAATTCTCATTCTGTAGGACTTCATATGACCCAGTAATGCTGTGTCTCAGTACCTGTGTTTAATGTGTTTACTCTTGCAGTTCCTCTGTTTGAACACCTCTTCTGTACAGAAGCTTTTACTAGTACTGAATTTACACAGAAAGATGGGAGAGGAAAGGGGAGAGCTCTTTTCAGTCTACAGTTTGTTTTGTAGATTCACAAAAGTGGGATTGCTCTAAGCAAAAAATAACTGTACTTAAATGTGGGAAATCCCAAGACAAGCATTTTAAGGATGTGTTTTCTTTTTTTCTAGTGAATATTTAATGATGCTGATGCCTCCAAGCATAGAGGAAGAGAAGTAAGTGTTTGTACAGAATGTTCAAAGTCCATGTTGGCTCGATGCTTTTTTTCATGGGCTGCAACTCTGCTTGTTTATCTGCAGTGACAAACCAATGGCTCCAAGCAATGTGCTTTCTATGGCCCAGCTGAGAACTTTACCCCTTGCTGATCAGATTAAGATCCTGATGAAGAATGGTTTGTAGCTTTTGTAATACATTTGCACTTTACTTTGTGACTTCTGATTGTCTCAGATGAGGTACCTTTTCTAGTACTGCTCTGTCACCTCACCACAATCTTACTGGCTCTCTGATTCTGTGAAGAATCCATATCCTGAGCCTTTCCTTAAGAAGACCTGCAGTGCAGAGGAGAGCAGGAACAGCAGATCTGGCTGGTACTCTGTATGTTTGCAGTGAACTTACTCTTAGAATAAATTATAATATGATAGCTTTCTGGGTTCATCTATTTCAGCAGGTATCTCCTGAAATGTGGGGTCTGAGAGTGAAGTATAAGTGGAAGGTTAATGAAGCAGTCTGCACTTCAGCTTTTATGGGAAGTGTTCAATACATACGGCTTCATGAGTCATCTGGGAAATTAATTTTGTCTCTTCAGAGTTACTGTCTGATGAGAGCAAATCCTGAGGACTTTACCTTAAGAACTTACTGTCTTGTCAGATATCTGTGTCCAAATATTACCAAAGACATAGATTTTTTAATTTTTGAAATGTTACTAATACATTAACTTGGGACCAGTTAAGCTCATTAACTTCACTGCAACACCAACAGGTATTTTTGGAACTGATGCTGACTGTAGTGCAGGGGAGGGCTTAGTAGAACTTTGGGTTTTTTCTAAGTACAGCTTTGACCACGAATTTCAACATAAATAATAGTATCCTCGATTTATACATCTGTATCTGTATCACGTGCATTGCAGAAACCCTTCATCTGGTGTGTATTTTGCCTTTCAGTGAAGGTCATGCCGTTTGCAAATCTGATGAGTTTACTAGGCTCTGGGACCGATTCCACGGCAGTTCTGCGCTGTATACAGCAGGTGGCAATGTTGGTCCAGGGAAACTGGGTGGTGAAGAGGTAGGGCTCGTCTTTGTTACTGGAACGTCGTTGTCTGCTTTAAGGAGAGAATCAGAACAATGGATTTTATATACCTGTCTTCCTTGTGTTCCAGAGTAGCCATATTCTTAACTTGTGATACTGTAAAATCTTGATTTAACGTTTGGTGCTTTCTAGTGCAGTCAGATACTAAAAATTCAGAAGGCTGATGTTAAAGCACAATTCCTTAGTACCTACCCCAGCTAGAATGATGGCCAGGCAGCAGTGTAATCTCTAGTTGCATTTGAGTTATGTCAGCTTTTTTATGTTGTCTTCACCTGTGTTTTTTTGTGAGAGGACTGTCCTGGAGATTAGTGTCAAATACACAGACAGAAAATTAAACCAATGTCAGCTGTAGTATTTCTTAGTTGAATTCAGTCAAAGAAATGTCTTTGTGTAGTCACCTTGCTATTAATCACTGGATGCTGCTCTTGTCAGCTGAAAGCTACCCTCTAGAAGACATGAACCATTTAATAAATCAGGTGTGGGATACTGAGTGCACCACATGAAGTGGATCTTGTATCATCCTCCTGTTTATTAGAATAAAGCATTCCAGTGGGAATTGAAGTCTAAAGTGCAGTATGAATTTTTAATTTTTTTTTTTACCTGGGTGGAGCACTGCATGCAGAGAACTGCAGGATCTGGAGTAGCTCTCTGTGTTAAGATGGGTGGCACCAGCTGCCAGTCCAACTCTGTTAGAATGATGTGTTTCTGGTTTTGTGAACGAGCCTGTATTAGTAATGTAAAGAAGCTTTTAAAACAATTCCATGCTGTCCCCCAGCCATTCCAGAAGGAAGCTGGAAGCAAGTTAAAAGACAGTGTATTAGCATTCAGATTGCTTTTATGTTGTAGCTGATTCTTTCATACTAGTCTGAGGAGGCTGGCTGGACACAACAGCACATGCATACATCAGAGCTTTAAATGGAGAGGAGACCCATTGCTTTGGCCTGGTTAGGATAAAGATCTTGAACCTGGGTTGTCTTGAGTCATCCAGTTGGTCTTGCAAGCAGACAGGGACACAGGGTGGTGTTGGTCTCAGGGCTTTTTGAGTGTGACATTTTATATTATTGTTCTCTTATGCTCTTGATTGCTGGGAAGGAAATAAAAAACCTTTATGCCCATACATCAGCATTTTGCCTAAATACTGCCTCCAGGGCTGCGTACCAGGTTAGGCTAAGCTTTTCTTAGGATCATTGTGGTCTTGTTTACCCTGAAACAAAGGAGGATAGGCTTTGCAAGAACAAAGCAGGGCTTGTACCTGTGTTGCACCTGCTAGCCACAAGGCTGTGCTTTGCTGGTGTAAGCCCTTTTGTAGTAGTGTAATTGCAGTGGTGTAATTCCATCAATATTAATTCCTTTAATGAAAACTATGCTTTGGGTAAAGGTATAATTTAACTGCAGAACAGGGAGGACGTGTTTGTTATGTTAATCTTCACGAATGCCATTTTTCTGGAGTACCTAGTAACTAATCTATCTTCCTTTTTAATTAACAGTGATGTCCTCTACCCGAAAGATACTTCTAGTCCACATAGTGGAGTTCCTGCAGAAGTGCTCTGCAGGGGGAGGGACTTTGTGGTAAGTAGAAAACTGTTTTTTTTACAGGAAAATGCAGATGAGGTTTGCCTGAGAGGCCACGACATTGCAAAACTCTGCTGCTCTAGTGCAGTAAGGTGCTTCCTCCAAAGAAATTGTTTGTACTTTAATCTTGAAAGTGCTGTTACACAAGTTTGTCATGGGAGTGTAGGTGTAGCTTGTCCAATGGCTGGCTGGCAGGGTCAGATCATCTGTCATGAGCAATATTCATCCCTTTCTAATACATGCTGTAGAGCCCCTATCACATAACCCCCACAATGTGGAGCGTACAGAAATGCCAGGACTGGATAATAAAGTGCTTGTTTATCCGGGATCTATTTCCGTGGGCTCAGGACCATGAGGTCTCAGGAGGGCAGTGTGGCTAAGCCTTGTGCTCCCTAAGCATGCAGTGTTGATCTTTAGAAAGGACTTTATTCCCCAGAGCTGCTAATCATTGAAAGGACTTTGTTCCAAGGCACCTTTTGTGAGCAGTAGCTGCACATGGAAGTTGGAATGAATACATTTCTTGTAAACACACACGTAACCACAGCAAAAAGGAACAACCTCTACATTGTGTTTATTTTTGCTAACCATGGAAAGAATTGTGTTCCTAAGTGGTTCCTAAGTTCATAGTCAGTTTTCAGCTTCCACCCCATCAAAGAGAAGCTGACAAGTGCATTGCTTTCAGTTTTCTCAATTAGACTTGACAGTTCCCCTTGTTCGCAAAGTTTGTGTATGGGATGCAGCTCTGAATAGGAGCACCCTGTGCTAGAGGCTGTGAGGATATTACAGTACTAGTGTAAGTTAAAACTGATGGTGATTGAAGCTGACTTTTTACTGTGTCTTGATGTCTACTCAAGACACTGCCATATGGAGACCTGGATTCCGGTGTGACCCAGTGACATAAGTCTTTAGGACACAGTAGATTAGGTGACATGTCATGTGTAAAGTTCTAGGGACCAGGAATGAGCATACTCACTTAAGTAAGAGGTAGCATTACAGCAATTAAGGTGTAAAGATAAAATATTTTAATTTGAATCATGTTAAATATACCTTGCACGAGAAGTGGATCTCAAACCAGGACACTTGTGTAAAGTAATTAATAAGGTTAAAAAAAAATCTATGGCCAGTAGTGACTTTTAGTGTCCCTCTTCCAACCTGGACTTTGGGAGGAGGAAAAGTAATTTGTGTCTTTTCAGAAAGCTTCTGTTTTTTTCCCCACATTCTCACATAATAAATTCAGAGGACATTAGTACTACTGGCCCTAGGTGAGGCCTAATGAGAAGTGGCTGCTTCAGAACTGTGTGCCAAGACAGCTGATAGATCTACTTCCTTTGGACTGCAGCTTCTTGTGCTTTAAAACAGAAATACCCTGAGCCCTGAACTGAGCGTGGTGGTTTTGTGTGTTTGTGGGGCAGAGAAGGATGCATAGAGGCTGTCATAGGGCAGGAAGAAAAGGGCAATAATTGGGTTTTCAATTCTTCAACACATTATTAATATACACAGACTAAAAGAGGTTGCAGTCTATTTGAGACAGGAAGAAGTCAAAGGTCGTGTTCAGTGTTCTGCCCAAGTCCTCATGTATCCTTTTAGGCCATTGTCAGAAGCTTCCTCTTTGGATGTTAGACCTTAGGAGCTGCTCTGCAGAGCTTTTCCATTAACTTGGGACAAGTATGTGAATGACATCTCAACATAATTGTAAGTGACTGGGATGTGCATTGAAGAATGGAACAGGCACTTCCCTAGGGGGCTGTGTGCTGCAGCATGGCAACAAGCATCAGCCTCTACAGGCTCCTTCTGCAGTAACAGAACTGGACTAAGAGTTTATTTAGGTTGATGATCAGGTATGTGAGAAGCTGAGGCTCAGGCGTGACTTCTAGAATCCCAGCATCACTGCAGTAAATATTATGTTATTATTTTATTTCTTGGAAGCTAAATGGAGTTTGACTTCCAGAGATTCTTTGTAGCTTTTGTAGTAACAAGTTAACAAGGCAGGCCATGGATTCTTGAAGATTTTCATATTATGTTCATGGCCATCTGAGGGTAGAAGAGGCAAGAATGTGTTTTCGCACTGCCTGGCTGAGAATCACCTACTTCCACATTCTTGAAAGGAATGAGGTTTCCATTTTTCTGATAATATTGTTGAACAGGGTCGTTACTAGAATTTCAGTAAAGCAACTGCTGAATAAAGTTACTAGATTTTTCTCCTTTGTTCCCTTCCTAGATGTGGAAGTTCACACAGGACCGCTGGGTTGTGAGAAAGGAAGTGGCAGCAGTTACAAAGGTGAGTAATTTTCTTTTTTTTTCTTTTTCTTTTTTTTTTTTTTCCTAAATCAAAAGTTGGTGATAAGTGTTGGACATTATCTGTAGGTCGGTAATGGATGCTGCTGCAAGCCTTTTCTCAGGTTCAGTGTCTGCATTACTGCTGACTTGCAGTGTTGCTCACCAGGCATGCCCTCACTTTGGAACAGGTATAGATACTTCATCTTTTTAGAAACTTTCTGAGCAGCTCCCACAGTTACCACGACTCCACAGGATGTGACTGTCCTTGTAGCTGAGCCACTGGAATGCGTCTTGTCCTCTCATCTGTTTCAGTCAGAGCCAGATGCAGTTTGAATTAAGCTGACTGATGGTGCTCCAAGGCAGATGAGTGGTTGTAAACTCCACTCAAGCTACTCTGAGTGTGTTACGGAAGAGCAGCTATTCTCTTGGTATTTGCCAGTTGTCAGTATGGAAGAAAAGCTTTAAAATAACTCAGACACCTGAAGATTCTGTTAAAACTGGCAAATCAGTGAGAAATATGAAGAGGACAAAAAAATAATTTCCTTAAAATGCAGTAAAATAATAAAACACGCATCAGTTTATGCACAGACCATCTATTTTTGGAATGTAAGATGTTATGTGGCTTAAAAGCTGTGCATGTGTGGGTGCAGCATGTCTGACCTGCAGCTCTAGAATGAGATTAACATTGTAGAATGTGTTTCTCTTCATAATAGTCTTTTCATCTCAGTTTGGAAACTCCCTTTTCTTCACAAAACTTGCCACGAGCTATTTGGCTGTCAGGTGATTAATCAGCACTGCTCTCTGAAGTCCTGTGCTTTTAACATTGTGTGAAGTGTTGGTGCTGCAGAGAGGGATGAGTATCTCTGACTTAGCTGGGTGTGTATTCTTAGAGGTGCCCCATATATACCACATCAGCCCAGCTCCTCCAGCCTCATGGAGCAATGCCCATTGCTGCATGGCTGCATATGTCCTATGTAAATTGACTTCTGTATTATTTAAGCTTTTTCTTTTTTTTTTAGCTTTGCCCAGAAGATGTGAAAGACTTCCTAGAGCACATGTCTGTGGCAAGAATAAACAAAGGTTGGGAGTTCATGCTCCCTTATGATGAAGACTTTGTTAAGAAGCATCCAGATATAGTTCAGAGGCAACATATGCTGTGGATGGGCATTCAGGCCAAGTAAATTACTTGTTTTATTTTGGAGAATAAACTAAAACCTGAGAACTATCTTTTGCAAAGTCTCTGTAGACTTTGATAGATAATTTGATCTGTATTACCTGATAGGTTTCCCCCTCAGTCACCAGGCAGTGGTGTGGTATGGGGTGTCACTGTCATTCAGGTCATTCCTGTTCCTTGGCTCCCTGGAGAAACAGAGTTTTCAAGCTGTTGGCTAAAGCTGGCATGGCTGCATACAAGTGTAACAACTGAAACTCTCCTGGTGTATTTTCTTTTTGTCTTTTAGATTAGAAAAGGTCTATAATCTCCTAAAGGAGCACTTGACACCAAAGAAACAAGAGGCACAATCAGGTAAATGGAATTGGGCTTGAGTCATCTTGAAGCACATGCATCCCTCCATATTCCTGGGTGATGTTTTGGCATTCCTCTCTAGTTTTGAACGTGGTGGGGACTGGTCTTGATGTTTAAAAAATATTTTCCCTTTCTTGTGACTTCCTATATTATTTGAGACAGACCTTGGTCTTTACTGACATCACTGGTGCTGGGGTGACACAAGTTTACTGTTGCAGAGCAGGAAGGTTTCCCTGCCACTGGCAACCTGCTATTTGATAGCAAAAAATCAGCTGGTTCTGTTATCCACTTCTCCTGAGGAGAGGACAGGGTCAGTACACAAGTAATTCTCACCCTTCAGTTTGCAAGGTAATGTTCCTGAGGTGATTTTTGTATTTCCCCAAATATGCAGTGAGCTCTCTGTGGTGTGCCTGAGGGCTGAGCAAATAATGAAGAATGTGTTTGGCAGGGGGCTGTAAGGTGGTGTGAAATTGTCTCTTTTTGACATCCTTCTCCACTGTGGATGCCAGTGAGAATATTAAAGTAGCTGCTTCATAATACTAAAAAATGGTGAAAACTTGAGGTTCCAGAGAGTTTCAACTGGGCATTTGGGTCATTGCCAGACACTGGAGCCCATGAAGAGTATAAGAAGAACTGACAAACGAGCGAATGAATCCATTTCAGTACCTGTCTTCTGATCTGCTTGGAAGGATTAGATCTTGGGTTATTTGGAGAGGATTAGTGAGCCTAACAGCAGAGAAGATAACAGTATGCATGCTGTGCATGCATCTGCCTTAAACACAGCACTCCTTCCCTTGGCATTGAGATTGGACTCCTGCTGCCAACACACCTTTGGGTAGCTGGGTGTGGAGAGGCCACGGGAGGGTGCAGGATTGCAAGGGAAAGGACTCCCTAGTGTCCCTTTCTCCCATCACTGGGTAAGAATAATAAGAAGAGGGTCTCAGAATTTCATACTGTGCATCCCATGCTAAAAGGGTGTCCAGGTTTACGGGAACTGGAAGGTTAACCCCTTCACTGTCCTTCCTGTACCTGTAGGACACCCTTGTGCTGGCTCTGGCACTTAATGCAGCAGGTGCCACCAGCCACTAGTTCCTCAAAAAAAAGAAAATAAAATATAAAAGTTGTTGGGCAAAGAAGCATTTGGCTGCCAAGTAGAGATGGATAAGTAGTCTATATCCTGGTTTCCTGATTTGTTGAAAAGGCACTAGAAAGTGAACAAGTGCACTTGGTCTTTGCTTGATGTTCCTTGACTGGAACATACTTCCCCAGGTATCTGGTTTACCATTGTCAACATGTTTATCTTAAAAAAACCCCACCAAACAGACACACTTATCTTTCCCACCCCCAAAAAAATCCAAACACAACAACAACAAACAAAACCAAAATCAATAAGAAAAACATTAAAAACCCCTGGAACTAAAGTAAAATCTAATCAACAAACAGTATTTATGCGTTAGATTTCAGAAGGAGATGATGTTTTTTGGTTTTATTTCACTATGAGCCCTTCAGGAAACATTCTGCAAGACTGGAGCCCTTTATTGTAATAATAATTTATATTATTTTTTGTTTCTTACTAGCTCATCCATTGCTGGTTTCTGGGGAGCAGAGAGTCAACATGGCTAAAGCAAAAGTAAAGCAGAACTATGGGCAGCTGGAGAAGGAGTTACAGAAGCAAAAGGCAGAGATTAAATCAAACGACACCTCAGCCAAGATGGATGTTTCCAATATCCATATTAAAGAGGAGCCTGTGAGTGATGAGGAGCCAATGGATACCTCAGCTTATGAGAGCATGAACAACGGCATCGTCAACGGCCTCCATGCAGAGGAGGACTCGATGGACTCTTTAAATGGCCACTTGCCTGGAGCCTGTATTGACCGGGTAGCCCAAGAACTGAAGGCATTTGTGTCCTCAACATTTAAGAAACAGTTTGTGCTGACCCTGAGTGAGCTTAAACGGTTATTTAACCTTCACTTAGCCAGTCTGCCTCCAGGACATACATTGTTCAGTGGCATTTCGGACAAAATGTTACAGGACATGGTGTTGGACACTGGCTGCAAACAGATTTTGGTGCCTGTAAGTATGGTTTTTCCTTGGTGTACTTGGGGGATGGGGGACTGGGGGAGGAGTTAAATGAACTATGAAGTGTTTGTATCATGTACTGGTGGACCAGAAGAACAGATGTGCTTGGAGTAACTGTCCGGTATTGGGTATGTTGAAGGTGCTGGAGGTTTGTCTGGCAGGCCCTGCAGTTTGCTTTCTTTGCTCTGTGGTGTGCTGCAGAGCTTGGTTGTCTTCAAGGCTCTGTTTCAGCAGCCAATCTGTAGGGCTGCAGTGACTCATGCTCCCAAGTTCCTCCAATTAAGTGATCTAAGGCAGTCCCAGATTCCCATCAACTCTTCTGGAGTTGAACAAGCTCTTTCTCTCATGGACAGAGATACAGTTGCGGGAGGAAAGGTGGCACTGACAGCCTGGGAGGGCAAGGCACACCCAGCAGAGTCCTCCTGGAAGCAACAAACCATGTCTGCAGCAGGTTTCTTGGGTCAGTCCTTTTCCTCCTAGACTGCGCAGAGGTGTCTTTGTTTTTTTGTCTTTATGAAAATGACATGTGATTGTGTGAGGCAGAGCCCAGCTTGTGTGCCAGCAGATTGCTTAGGAAAGGAAAAGTAATTGACATCATGGGAAAAAGCCTAAAAGGAAGTTAATTTTACAATATGCTTGGCAGTACTGATTGGGTTGCAACCAGAAGGAGGCTGGGAGCCACCTGCCTTTGAGGAGAGAGAAAAAGACACATATGAACTGCTTGAAAGAGCAGGTAGGGTGGAAACAGAGAGCCTGGAGTGTGGGAGTTGAAATGCAGCTAAGGAATAAAGGTTGCTACGGAGGGGCAGAAGTAACTTGCTCAGTCATGTGCAAAGTACATTATGTGGCACCTAAGAACCAAGTAACGGACTTGAAATGCCACTAGGGAGACCACCAATTTTGGTACTTTCTGCTTTCTCTCACCACAGCTTCCAAGTCGTGGGGTAGTGTTTGGCTGGAGCTGCCTCTCAGAGCTGGCTAGGCTCCTTTGATGTTGTAATGTATATATTTGCCATGCCAATTGTAAATAGCTGAGCTCATTGTTGCTCTATTACTTGGGACTGGGACTTGTTTGCTATGGAAGTTTTGGGATTTTAGAAATTGTTCCATCCACTCTTTGCTTAAAGGCTGTGAGAAATGAAAATGGGATAGTTGATTTAAAAAAAAAAACAAACAACAATCAAAATGTTCCTGAAGAGAGGTGGTTGTCAACTTCTTTCAGCCTGGAAGACCCTGTCACAGGAGACCTGCAGAGCTGTGCAGGTGGTCACTGGAACCTCTCTTGCTGTAGGTCTGCTGGAAGTTTAAGTTCTGAGCCAGAATTAACTGCAAAACTTGAGTTCTTATATAGGAGCCTGTATAAGCCTGTACTATTATCAGCAATGTAAATCATTACCCCCAAGCATCCCCCTGATGCTCTGTGCAGATAGCAAAGGTACCAGGGCTGGTTTTACACTTTGCATGGGCTCATACATTTTGGTGATTGTTCCGTTGGACAGTTTTGTCAGAACCCAATGAGATCGCCTGAGCTCAGGGAAACCTGGAGTTGTTTAGCATGGAATTTCATAGGTGCTCATTAGTTTTCTGTAATTGAAAGTGCTTTGGTGATAAAAATCAATGACCTTAGCTAATTAATATGATGTTCCGTGAGGGGTGAACACACTCTTGGCTTGCATGTTGCCTTATTAAAGAAAACGTGTTGCTGAAAAGGGCAGTTGAAACCTTAGCAAGGGAGTGCAAGATTTATTATAAAGCACCCGGGGTATGAGATAACAGTGTTTGTGGGGAGCCAGAAGAGATGCCACTCCAGCTGCAGAGGAGGCCCTGGGGACGCCTGCAGGGTGCTGTGCTTGCTTGTGCTTTGTAGCATCCTCAAGGGGGAGGGGAAAGCGCACAAAAAACCAGCGGCTCCTGCTGGGATGCAGTGGCTGGTGCTGCCCTGGGAGGGCTGAGCAGAGGGTGCCTCAGCTGGCACAGCACAGGGCTCCAGAGCTAAGCCTGTGTCCAGCCCCCCGGGAAGCCTTACCGCAGGAATCTCCTGAGTATCTGCACCTATTTCCTGCCGACTAGTGGAGGGGTGTTTGGCTCCCTTCCCGTGGTCCGTGGAGTGGCAAGGTTCTGCCTGAATCTTGAAGATATTTTTGAGGCTTCAGGAAATGATGTAACTTGTTGGCATCCTGTCTGGCTAGGGTAACAGGAGAGGAATGCAGCCCTGTGCTTGCTGGGAGCCTTTTGGGCTAGTGCTGATGCCAGGCTCCCGGAGAGGTAAGCTCAACAGCTTACCTCTAGGATTATTCCAGCTGATAAGTTTTTTTCTGGCAGACTCAGCCCCTTTCTATCTGGTTTAGCTGTAACGCACAGCTGCCTGGCAGCAGCAGATTTTTAGGACATTCCCAGTGCTTGAGTGAGACACATCCCAAAGCCAAGGGCTCCTCCCTGAGAGTTTGTGTTCTAATGTAGCAGCTCTGGGAACCTGGGCAGCAATTCATCTCTTAAAAGCCCTCCATTAGCTCTAGGGCCTTAGAGCAGAGAGGGGCACAGAGCAAATATTCTAAAGAAGGGAGTGGAGACCTGTTTCAAGGTGAGGCTGGAGAGATGAAGAAAACAAACATAAAATGGTAAAGGAGTGCCATTTGGAGTGGCATGTCTCTCCTCAGAGTTCCTGATGGCATTTCCCACTCCTGTGGTCAGGCTGTAGGACAGCAGCAAGCGAGCAGGCTGCTGTTGGCACCAGTGCTTGAAATAGTTTGCAGAGTAAGGCTGGACAAGAGGAGAGATTCTGTGCATTTTTCTTTCTGAATACCTATGATGTCAATTTGGAAGCTGTTTCCTCACAGAATAGCCACATAAGCACAGCTGCATTTCAGACATGCAGCTGAGGCTGGAGTTTGCACTCCGGGTCTGTGTTGAGTGACTTTCTTAGAGCAAGGCAGCTTGTGGCTCCCCATGCCCTGTGTTTTGCCTTTCCTGCTATAGCTTTTTTTCTGGACTAAAGCTGAAGTATTTGGTTTTATCCGTGCTGAAAGCATGCCAGAGATACTCTTTCTCAAAAGCAAGTGTCCTTGTGAGAAGGGAACTGTATCAGGTGTTGCAAGCCTGATAGCTTGAATCCTGGCTCTAAACAAAATGTAGAACCTTGTTTTAGTCCATCCATTTGGACCAACGTGAGAGCCAAAGCTTCTAATCCCACCAGGCAGCTCCTGCTGGAAAAAACTCTTCCCCTTTGGAATAAGATCAGAGGCAAAGCCTGAAAGGAAAGGTTGATATTTCACTCTGTGATGCACAGATCTTTTGGGGTGGTGTGAGGGAGCCTGGGAAGAAAGATTTGTTTTGTATCAGAAGCCAGGGTTGAGGGGTACTGTAACAATCAGGACTGGCTTGTTACCTTTTCAAAGGTGATTGATTTAGGTCATCTAGGCAGTTAGCAAGGAAAACATTGTTAGTGACAGGCAAGAAGAGACATGTCAGGAGTGAAGGCACATTCCAGCATTGCTCATTAGTCACTTCTCCAAGGGGAAATGTTAAGGCAAATGGATGGTGTTTTATTTTTTTTAGGAATCTGGGACATGGAGGGGAGGCAGTTGTGTTCCTTTCTGTCTGCAGGGCTGTGAGGCCTCTGCCTCAGAAAAAAAACATATATTTCTGTAGCTTGGCACATGGGGAAAAAAAGACCAAAAAAAAACACTTGATTTTTTTTATTATTATTTTTTTAGCCTAAAATGAGCAAGTGTCTGGTCCATCAGCATTCAGTCTTCTGGAGTCCTGTAGTCTGCCCCAAAACAGAGATGACAAATACAGCAGAAGCACAGTGCTTGTCAGTAACACTGACTTGGGATTAGTGAAGCACATAAATACAAGATAGTCTGATTCTCTGAAACCTGCCCCTGTAGATGTGAAAACCTCCAGAAAGACCCTGCAGTGCTGGTCTCTCAGTTGACCCTGGTGCTCTCAGTTGAACACTGCTTTGGGTCATGTGGAAGCAAACACTGCTGACAGGATAAATGAGACATCTTGCCATGAAATACTGGCTAAAGCCCAAGCCAGGGGCTCTTGTGGTATATGGTGGTTGTCCCCTGTCCAAGGGGAAACTGTCCCAATGCAAAACTCTCCGAGTCCCAGTATGCCAGCAGTTCCCTTTTAAAGCCCTGAACTGGTTGGTGGAGTGCCAGATGGGGCCCATGGCACTGGTGCTGATTACCCCACCATGATCAAAAGCATTAGTCAAACATGGCTTGGGCATATCAAGGCACACATCAGGGTGCCACAGTGCTCATCCCATTCCCTGGCGCATAGTTAACCCCTCATTAATTTGGGGTCTGTGTGCCACAGGATCACCCAGCAGGACAGGTTTGATACAGATTATGTTCCTGTTGAAGTCATCGTGGTCTGCCCCATGGCTGCTGGACAGGCCATGCCTGAGCTGCCAGAGCAAAGTTACCCCTTCAGGTGTGGAATGAGAGAGACATTGTTTCAGCAGTTCTTATTACACAGTAATGACATTTTTTATTCAGTAATAGGTGTCCAGGGATACTGTATCATGGAATCATTAAGCAGAACTCATTAAATGGATGGTTATTTTTAACAGCCTCTTGTTCTCAGTTTCCTCCACAGACTGCTGCTTCGCCAGATGAACTAAAGGTCTATGCGCTTTGGGAGGCTGGTGACACTTACGACCAGGTAAAGATGATAAGTGACATTCCCAATTATATGTTCATTGAGCATTTGGCATTGCTTGAATTTGTGTTTCTGGAAGTGGCACAGCAGGTAGGTTTCCTTTTTCCCTATTGGAAGTGTCCAGTTGGTAATACAAACCTATTTCCAGGTGAGAGTAAGCTCTTAGCTTAAAGGGTGGTCATTGCTGTGTCAAGACAAGGTGTGGACAGACACGTAATACATTGGTAATACATGTCAGTAACCAGCTCAGTGGAATACAAATAATTTTGAACCAGTCAAGAGAAAAGGTTCTCCCATGCAGATCTTGCACCAGGATCCAGTCCAATTCTTTTTGCCCTTTCAATAGTAATGCAAGATTAACCAGTGACATGATGTTGTTACCCCATGTATCTGTTTATACATTGGATAGGAAATGATTACAGCATATGTGAGCATCTCCTGATCTTTTAATTGCTATAAGAGTAAATGAAATGAAAGAGAAGGTGCCGAACAAAACGTGGATGGACAATGTAGTTCCTGTGTCCATGATCTAAACAAATTTTTATAGGAAGGACTCACGCATTGCTCTAAAGAAAATAGTGCCCAGCCTCCTGGCTGGAGAGGACCATGTGAACTCCTGTGGAAGCACTTGAGAGGAATATGTTGCAGGCCCTTCTTCAGCATCTTACAGCTTTGGAGGTGCCCCAGGTTCCAGGACACATGCAGGTGTAGCCACAGGGCATGGAGAGGAGAGCCCTGCAGATCCCTCAGAGCCTTGGGCGCTGCTGAAGAGCAGACGTATGTGGGACAGTTTCAGGATTATGAAGGACGAATGTTCACTTAATATTTTTGTTTCACTTAAAGAAGTCCAGTTAATGTTTTGTACAGACTAAGGCACATACAGCTTTGATACACAGAAATATAGGAATAATTGTTCTTTTTCTATTTACAATATTTTTCATTTAAAGCATCGCCAAGTCTTGCTTGAAATCTTTTCGAAAAACTATCGAGTGCGCAGGAATGTCATCCAGAGCCAGCTGAGTCAAGAATGTGGAGAAGATCTAAACAAGCAGGAGGTGGATAGAGTGTTAAAGGTAAGTTTCTGTTCCATTGTGGGTTTGATCCAATTAATACAGGAATTTTTTTATGCTTGGATTGAGCAAAGGATCATACTTTACCTTGAACTGACAAATTATAAGGATGCTAGAGCAATTGTTTTTAAGAGTGGACAGAGCCTGGTTTTCAACTTGTTTTTTTTAAAAATACACTTTTTTCACTCTACCTTCTTTCTCTTCAAGGAGTGATGGTTTTGACTCACATGGTATTTTTTGCATTATTGCAAGAATCTTTATTTGTCATCTTGGACCAGCAGAGAGTAAGAGTGTAGTAAATGTGATACTTCTGAGATTATTTTAGGTATTGTGTGTTAAACATGAGGGATGTGGGAGGGTTTTACAGTTTACTGACTTACTGCTGTTGTTCAATGCTGAAGAGCACAACTCCCACGTATTCAGAAAGAAACACATTTTATTCTATAGTAGGACGTGCAGAAGTGTAGGGAGCAAAACCCGAGCCAAAACAAGCAGGCAAAGTAGTAGTTAACACATTTCATTGTGAATGTTTATTTGAATCCTTTCATCTCTGTCTTTGAAGGTGCACCATTTACTTGCTAAAGAAGTTTAAGGTATAGAGTATGGACTACACAGGCCATGATTGACAAGTTTTAAAAGCAATGCAGGACAGCTAAGTAGAAAGTTGCCAGCTAATACTTTAATCATTGTTGCTGGGCCTTTGCTCACTGTCACCCACTTCAATAAGACAAGTGGTTAAGTACTTTATTACTTTGGGATCTGGAAACAGAATAATAGTGTATTTGAAAAATTACAGATCTCTTGCTGTGATAATAAGCAAACTGGTCTTGCTTGAAAGAACCTGGTCTTCTTAGAATTAAAATAAGCTCAGACATGTCTGCCTGCTTGACAGTATTTCATGTGGCTTGCCTGTGCTGGGAGGTTTGTCAACTGACTAGATGAGCTCAAATATCAGCTCTCCTGGAACATCTAGACATTAGTTTTTTATTATGCTGTTGCTATTCAACAAGTAACATATTTCTGGAAAAAAATGCCTTTCTCTAAATACTGGGAAAAAACTTTTTATGTAATCCACTAAGCCATTGTGTGACCAGCCTTGTGTTCATCATCTTGAATACATTTGTCACAGAAGTGAGTGAAATTGTTTCTGAAAGAAATGTCAGAAGTATGATTTAATGAAATAGGTAAATTCTCTGGCTTCTTTAAATCACAAGAGATTGGATTCCTCTTTGAATGAAATTGGATTTGTTGGCTCCTATTTCCCCATCTGTGTGTGCTCCTTTTCTATACACAGAGGAACAGACTGACAGAGTTTGTATTTCTGCATCTGTAGATTGAGTCTGCAAACCCTCTTTCTAGCCTCCACACTTAATTTGTTCTTGTGATGTGCGAGGCCAAGACTTAAGAAAAAGATACTTTTTATGTTCCACAGCATCAGTTCTGTAGCAGTTCTTAAGCTTGTGTTGAATTACCGGAATGGGAGGGTGGGAGCAGTAGAAAGTGAAGCCATGAGATGAGAACTCAAGATAATTGGTGCTCATCTAGTGGAAATAAGAAAATGAGCAACAAGAGAACTCACTGAACTCCTTTGCTCTGTGCACACTGGCTGTCAGCTTAGCAGACGTGTGGTCAGAACACTGAAGTGCAGTTCTGAGGTTTGACTGCCCATTATCATAGGATGTTTCTTAGAAGGCTTCAGATCTGGTGACTGCCTTCACACGAGTCTCTCCGCCTGAGCTTCAGCCTGTGTTCACCCCTTGTTCCCCTTGTCCTTACGCCTCCCTGCAACCTTTCCTAAACTGGCTTCTGCACGATGCCCATCATTTATCCCAAGATTTCCCAATTTCTTGCTGCCCATCACATTGTTTATCCTCCTTGTGGCCTCTTCACCTCACCCCGTCTTGTGTTTGTCATCTTCATTTAAGCTATATGGCCTTCAGGGTAGGGATAACCTGCTGCTCTGGATTTGTTGTCGAGACTTTGTTATTGATCACCTTTCTTGTCCCAAGGCCACACAGTGGTTCCCATGGCCTTACAGACTTTCCCTTTCTCCCCAGGACTGCTGTGTGAGCTACGGTGGAATGTGGTATCTTAAGGGGACGGTGCAGTCTTGACAGCGGTGGTTGCGGTTTCTTTACTTCAGGTGATCTCCAGGATGAAAGAGGAGCCCTGCAGCAGGCGGCACGGACAGCGATGCCGTGGCCGCAGGAGCCTGGGGCAGGATCTGACCTACTTGGGGGCAAGTGGGGGCACATTGCAGACAGAGGGTCCCTGACATCCCCACACACGTGCTTGCAGGAGCAGCTAGGAGGGCAGCCTGGGACCCTGTCTGCAGCTTGATTAATCGGGGATTTCTCATGTATTTCAATTCTCCTTCTGTTTCATTATGAAAATAAAAAGAATATACTGACACAGACATGATGGAAAATCATGGTCTAATACTTTATTTTGTAAGTAATGCCAATAAATTAAATTTGTTTACAAACATCCCGGGTTTTGTTAAATACCTAGATGCTCATACTTCAGTCTGAGCATTTTAATAGCCCTTGCAGCCCTCTTTGTGAAGAGAAGGTAGTCGTGTTCATGGAAATGTAAGGCCAGGGAGGGGGGAAACAGAATCACTGTCTTTAACTCTGTACTACATAGCAATTGTTCTCACCTGTTGTCTGTGAAATGAGTTGTTTGGAAAAGTACCTACATTTGAAATGTGGAACAACTACTGGATTTCTTTTATTGGTGTGGGGTTTTTTGGAGGGATTTTTTGCATTGCTGTGTGCAAATACAGGGAGGTAAGTAACAGAGTGCACCCTCTGGAAGGCATCCAGCTGTAGTTAGCACACAGCAACAATGTAAAACATCTATTTTATGTAATTTTTCTAATAAAATTTTATCTCTAAGGTCAATTCTACCCTGCGTTGTGTTTGTCCAAGAAGAAATGGAAACTGCAGCTGGTCCTCTTATAGGCTGAAGGCTTACAGAGGAAGGAAAGGTCAGGAATGTTTTAGCAGAGGTTAGAGGTAGATAGTGCCTCTTAAACTGCTTTACATGATTCTGCTTGCATCATATTCTTTAGGGGTAGGCAGAGGTAGCTGTCAAGCAAAAGCCTGTTGCATGGTTATTACTGAAACCTAGCTGCAATAAGATAAGGAATATCCTACTGTTACTGGTTACTTTACTGGTTGTGTTCTTGGCTATAATTTCCATCACATGTAAAGTTAAAGGAGATTCTATTAATTTCATCTACTTACACTCAGAAAAGACTGAGTTGTTGACTAAGCAGATTAAGGTAGTTAATCCAGATAAGACTGGCTAAGAGTATTGTTCCCATACTTAATGGCATTTCACAGTTCTCTGGAAAGTGTATGTTTTTAAACTGCTAAAATTCTACCTTAATTAATATTCCAGAGTAGTTTATTAAGTCCATTAATGTAACTGGGAGGCATTTTAAGTACAGGCAGCCTTTGTCTTGGTCAGTTGCATGCACCCATGGCTGACATCTCCCTAGTACAGCATTACCCATGGCTGCATCTATAAAGCTGCTCCCTGGTAAAGCCACAGTCAGATTATGAAACAAGAACCCAGCCTTGGAGTTTTTTATTGCACAATATGTACAGTTTAGTGTTAAAGTACAGTACAGCCAGAGCTTAGCAATGGCACAGGTAGCCAAGGAGAAGCTACATTACAGAAAAATCAAGTTCTGTGGAAATTGAGAAAATTGGTGATACTTTTAAAACATAAAAATTGTATCTATGAAAGTGCTCTAAATTAGCCAACAGTAATAAACCACTGAACATCACTTATTTAACAAAAGATTCTGAATTGCTTTTACATGTCTCCTGGTCCAGCAGGTGTGGATCCCCATTCCCATAAAGTGGTGAGGAATATTAGTAGTAAATAATTTGTGACTAACAGTGCCATGCCTCTCTCATTTAAGGTTACTGCTTTCCAGGATCTGAATTGGGGCAGACCTCCCAGTGATGAGGATCCAAGTGTTAAGGAAACCATGACAGTACAGTAACCTGATGGCAGGAAAGCAGCTTTTCTGCCTTTTTCCCTCCCCCCATCCTTTTTTAGCAGCACTAACAAACACCAGAACAATGAGGAGAAACTTAGTTCCCCATGGATTTCTATCCCAGACAGGTCTATACTTTTCCATTTAGTGTAACCTTTTTAAAATACAAATTTAATGGAAACTCCATCTGAGCTACACAGGAAAGATTGCAAGACTAGATAATGCAGGTGCCAACTGTACCAAGTTTGTTTCCTGTTTGGCACAGATGGGCATAATTACTAGTTACATATATAGCTTGATTGGATTATTTACATACAAGATTCAGATTCCCATTTTTAAATAATTTTCAGAATGCAATACATGTATTGGAGAAACTCCCACTGAATTAAGTTTTAATACTGCAGCTGAAGAACAGCTATACACAAGCTTAACAGGGTACAACATAAGGCAGACAGAACTGCAAAAGCAGCAGTTGAACTAAAGCTGAGAAGTTGCCAACACTCTGTGTTAACTATTTTTTATTTTGCAGCAGCTCAGACAGGCAATGTTGAGTCCCAAAAAAAGCTGACCAATTAAACTATTAGGCCCTTTGTAAGGAGAAGGATGTAATCTTTCCTTGTGCCTCACCAGCCCCTTAGTTTCTTAGTCTTTGTTTTCTTCACACTTTGAAGCAGTTTTTTAAAAAAATCATACTTCTCCATGTTACTTGTTTTTCTAAACTTTAATGCATATAAATTATTATTCATATGGGAGTTGAAAAAGACTGACAAGAATGTGGTCCCCTGTTTTCAGCAGAATATG